CTCTAAGATATTATTTGTTACACTGACATTATGTTCTAGTATTACAGGCTTTTGAGCCATCTTTGCCTCATCTTCAATATTGAAATCCTTTCGCAATACTTCTTCCTGAGACAAAGCGCTTCACATTACACCTATTTGCAACTTCATAATATACATTTTTAACAAAGTGACTAATTACCTGAACATAGATATCAAATACGCGTCTGCCAAGACTCGTATATGTTTGGTCATTTGTAAACTGTATCTCCGCAAAGTGAAGACTTACAGTATAGTCATTTTCTAAGCAATAATGGAAATATGTGATTGAAATTGGGGATATGCGTGCTGTCGTGTATAAATCAGAGAGATTTGAAGATGCCAGAGATACAGAGTAACGTGTATTTTGGAAATCATTGTCATCCATGAAGTCTCCAGTGCTACTAAATCCCCAAAAATAATCACCATTAAAGGAATACTCTGCAGCGCCACCTGCAACTCCTCCGTCCCCTTCATATACAATGTTTCCTTTATTTTCTTTGATGGTGACGTCATTTCAAAACTTCAGTATTATACGAAGTTGTCCCTCACACCAGCCTACAGACATTTAATAGTTTTCGAGATTGAACAGGAATTCACAAGCAGAGTGGAGTAAAAAAATTTAACATTTCAAGGGAAATTTGTACCTGGAAACAGCATAGGCAAGGACTCCAATTGACACTGAACCAAGAAAAATCCCACTCCAGAATAGTACTTTTGTGCGTGATGTAAGATCTACAACCATTTGATCCTTAGACATCTCAGAGCTGCAAAATATACAATATTAGTTTAGGGCAATTGAGCAACAAATAAATTTACCTTCCTACAGCCACACATTATCAATCAGGGGAGGGTGAATGAATAATAAAGGAAATAATTGGAATCTTCACAAATAAAATTTGAAAAAGGTAAAGCTGTATATAATATTTCTATCCTATCGTTGAGCTTTAAGAATCGTTCTTCCGTATTACATTTGTCTTCCTCTAAATTCTCTCTCAAGTCCCTTAATTTTTTAAACAAAAGTGTGTTTTAATAAGTGTCATATGATACTACCCTATAATATATCTATATACACACACACAATGATCTATACTCTTTGTTCATTATGAATGAAAGTAGTTTGTGCTACTTGCATTCAATATATTAGTCTTGCTCTACACAAATGAAATACTACAATTGTCAAGCGCGAATGAATATACTTACCTTATATGGGTTGTTTCATGTATAAAAGAATTTATAATTAAAAGTTTAAATGAAAATAGTTTAATTTTTTTTTTATATATACATACATAGAATATTTGTATGTGGGTAGTAAAATATATATGAATATAAATATATCCGTAGTTCTTTCTTTATGTTTGTGCGGTGTCTTTCTTCCAAATTTTGCTTCAGTTTCTACACTGGGCACTGATTTGTGTTGGACTTTCTATTTATCGTAAATCATGTGCTTTTATACCATTATCACAAACAGAATCTCTGGATTTTTATCATATTTTTCCTTACCGAATAATGATGTTGCTATTTATGGATCCTTTTCTTTTCTTAATGTTGCTTAATTGCTGTTTCGCTTTAGCAAAGTGTTTGAGTTTGATCATATTAATTTGATCTTTCTGTTAATAGGAGGTTTTTACCATGTCAATGCCTATCGATCTACAATTTTGCTAACATTTTAATTAATTTGATTAATTACTTGATTATGGTTGCATTGTGATATTGCCAATGTTGATTATGTTTGCATTATGAATCTTTCTTGCTTTTTCTCCTCTTCTTATAAGATTCTCTCTACTTATTATATAGGTCTAAAAACCATTTAAACCACTATTGAATTACGTATAAATGAAATTTTTGTATGCTGAACGTTTGAGAATACTATTAAATTATTATATTTACAGGTGAATTTTTTTAGGAAATATCCATTTTTCAGGGGAGACTGCCCGTTTTTCGACAGAAATGTCAAACCTTTTAAGTAATTTTAACTTGAAATAAGGGCAGAAGACATTTTAGTCATATGTGCCTAACACATAAAATAATTAAAAACTACAAATTATATTTACATCCTTTCTTCAATTTTTCTTCAATATATCCAACTATAATTATTTTACCTCTTTTCAACTTTTTCTTTAGATGAATACAAAATTTAAAATATGTTTACTTTGTGTTACTTCAATTGAAAACCCATCTACAACTTGCTCATTAGTTCTCTTACTCCAACATTAAAGTTTGTATTCTCTCTTTTACAATTCACTCATCTCATTAAAATACATATTAAAATATTTATAACTTCTTATTAAATTGTTAAATTATATTATTCCTATTTATACATAATTAAATATTTATGATTATTGTCCTAACTCAATTTTCCTCATTCATCAACATTAACACTTGCTATTTTCCCACTTTTTTATAACAGAGTGAAGACCTCCATCAAAGAAAAGAAAAGTCAGGAAGAAATTGCAAAACAAAGCCCAACCAATTAAACAACATGCTGTTCAAAACTATCCAAATTTTGTTATTGTAATAGCCGCTTCCCACTATTAGCATTTCAATGTATATACAAACATGTCGACTATTTTAACATAACAAGTAGCCTATTAAATATGTTATTACTTCCTTTTTTGCCACTTATACTAACTTAGTTAAGCATAATGCTACAAGTTAAATCTCATTGTATATATAAATCAGTGGCGAAGCCAAGATTTCATGTGTGTGGGGGCCTCTTACAAATTATAAAGAATCAAAAATTCAAACTCACAATACATACGAAAAATAGTATATATATATATCACATATGTCAAGAATTATATTGCTTATTGGTTGCAATCATAATTGTCCTCAACAAAGGGATAGAAAAATACATTCTGAGCAAGAAAAATTGCAAGAGATAGACAAATAGTAGCGATTTAGCAAATATCTTTAAAGCTTTTCCCCCCATTAAACCCAATAGAAAGAAAAAAAATCAAAATTTCACAAACTAAAAAAAACCTTAGGTCCCTTCATGCATTCATATCATACATGAAAAAATATTTTATGTAAAAATATTGACTAAGTATGAAAAATAGTTTTTCGGAATAATCATTTTCTCAAGATACTTTTTGGCGGCTTTTATTCCTTACACATCAAATAAGAAAACTTGATTTTATGGGATTTTAGTATGAAGTATATATTGACTTAATGAGCCATCATTTTTAGCCTAAATCGTATTTTGCACTAAAACCGATTTTTCATATTTTGATTTGGTAGGAATTTGATTTTCTAGTATTTTTATTTGAATCCAAATAGGGGGTACTTCCTTATTTACATTGTAAACTTAAGTAAATGGAGTAATATAAAAAATAAATTAAAGTAAAAGGAGAAAGACATTTACTTAAATGTTGAAAATGGAAATAAGGTAATCTGTATACCTGGAGTGCACCACTACCAGCTGAGCAAATGGGAAATTTGAAGCACCTCATTATGCCTTCATAGGTCCTCCACAACACATGTGGGTACATATCAAAACGTAAAGTATTTGAAATAA